TGCTGTAAGGAAAACCCTTTTTCTCGCCTTTGCTGTGTAGTTTCTCCTGTTTTGTTCCAGGTACTGTGCCTTATTACAGCCTTGAATCAGGCTGTGTTTAACTGCAGAGTGTTTCTAGAGGCTGCTTTCAGATGCCTCTTCCATTAACACTCCCAGTCCATTCCTGAGGCTGCAGCCAACACAGCAGGTTAGCATGTGCAATACAAAGAAGCTGCAAAGTTACTCTTTCAGTCCATATATTTGGAATATATTTATACACAGGGAAGACTGGCATTTATAGACACGTGCAACAAGAACGCTGTTAAACTGTTTTCACACCACACGCTGCAGCAGAGGACAAAGCCAAGCACACGTTGTACTAAATATGGAAGTGGGAGAGCCATTCAGAGCCACCACCGAGTTCTTCACTACACCACAGCAACCCCAGTGGAGGCAAGGTGCACACAGCAGCCCTCTCTTCTCACGGCAGATAGCTGTCTTCCCCTCTTGCAGAGGCTAGCTCTAGAAGAGACAATTTCACTACCTACCCTTTGCTTTAAAGGACACAGTATGGAAGATTTAAATCTTAGCTAGTCTGAATCCATCCTTTGGTCTCTGATGAGCCAAAAAATGCTTTTCTGGTCAGGAGGAGACAGATATAATGGCAATTTAGGCACAGGCAGTGAATTAGTTGATTTTTGACTTGCATCACAGAGACCGTTGCATTTATGGGGTGGTGAAACTTGAATCTCCCCTAACAAAAGCGTTGCAATCACCTACCAGCAGGGCAGCGCCTCTCCCCTTCTATTTACGTCCTACAGAAACAAAGTTGCCCCTATGAGTATGACACAACCAGGCTTTGAATCACAGAAGGGAAGCAAGCAGCTTTAGATCTGCGTCCACACAAGGACAGCAGAGACAGCACCACAGACCTTAATCCACGTGGAACCATGGGTGTGAGGAGCCTCCCCCAGTATCAGTATTTCCTTTGGCATTCTGCATGCAGCTTTCCACACGCACACAGTGCAGGAAGTGGATTTCACTGTTAATTACAAATTGCAAGAGCAAGAACATTCTTGGTTCAGGCTATGGCACAAAGGCCAGACCACCCCAGCAAGGTCAACTCTTCCCACATCACCACTGCTCCACTCCAGCCTGCATACAAACAGCTGTTGGGCTGCAGAAAAGCTCTATTCTCCGGTTGCTGCAGGAGTGCCAAGATCAGAAAACCAGGCTGAAGCACTACACATGCTTGAGAAAGCATGTCCTCTATGGAAATACAGCTGGAGGGGAATGGAACCACGGGTTGGCTTGGTAGGTAGCACTTCTTGCCTTCAGAAGACAAGGTGGAAGGTGGGAAATGCCTGTGATGTCGTTAAGCTCTTGCAAAACAGTCTTCCCGTTAGAGTAAGCCAGGGGTTTTCAGAGAACAATTCCTTCCTTCAAATCCAGAAATACCAGAGCTAAACTGCTGGCAAACTAACAGAACAATGTAGGATGAGGTGTTATGAGTGCGTGGATAACACCTGGCTTTCCACTTCCCTTACATCACACACCAGCTCTGCTCTCTGCCAACATGCAGACAGGAGTCATCAGCACAGAGGTAAAGAGCATCTGGCTGCCACTCAGCATTAACTGACATTGTAGGCGGGGGGGCAGAACATGAGGGGGGATTTAATCAAGTCTTCCCCAGTAATACCCAATGACGTAACTGCACGAGCTGCAGCTTTCTGCCCTGTTTGGATGTCCCTGCTTCCAGCTGCATGGAAACGCTCTCTTGCCCAGCAGAGCCGGCACCTGCACAGATGCACAGAGCCCAGATGAGGCTGTTATGTCATTTATCCGGGAATAAAGACGCACACAACCTCTGAAAGCTTCACACCGGTGCAAAACACAGCAGCCCATCTGCTCCACAAAAACGGTTGCCATGAATACATCCCTGCTGCTCCACGCCTGCTATTTTTAAAGCTACTTGGGAGGCAAGCGAATTCACTGGTGGTTGTGCTATTTTAGTATCTGGATTAATAATATTCAAGGCATACACGGTACTGCTCAGTGGGGAAATACAGGACCTGTCTGGCCCACACCTGGCTCAGATGTGCTTTCAGAAGACCAGCTTCTAAAGGAGAGGGATAAACCCAGGGATGACAGATGTTTGTTAAGCAGAGCCCTGTTACTGAAACTGCTCTTATCCTCAGAAGCCCTGCTAAAGCATAAGGAGGAGATTTTACAAACAGAGGAGGGGAAAGGAAATTTATAGCTGCAGGTTTAGCCACTAAAATATTCACAGCCTAAAGTGAGGTGTTAACACTGCATGCATGGAAAAGGGACACCTGTATGCAAGGAAAAAAACCAAACAAACAACAAAACAAGACACAGATCCTCAAGTCAACGTGGTGACAGGACTTGGTCCTCTTCCAGAGTGCCCTGAATTCCTAACCATCTTAATTCGTGGTGCACTCCAGGCAGGTTCCCCTCTCAGCGGGGTTGCTTGGCCCCTAACCCATGGCAGGAGGCGTAGGGGCTTCTGCTCTCATCTGCCCCACTGCCCCCAAAGCCCCTCCAGACTCATGCTGAAAGGTGTGACTCTGTAATACATACCTACAAGCCAGGCCCAGTGGGCTTGGGGCAGGGTCAGGCCAACACAGCCACCCGCTTCTGCCCACAGGTGAGAGCAATGCAGCGCCGCTCAGCAGCAAACTGGGAATACCACATCCCCACCCTCACCACAGTCTCTGGAGAACTTTTATCTTCTCACATTGTAAACCACTTAATTGAGGGAAAAAAAAATAAATCTGATTCAGCACGCCCTGTACCTACTTCTCCCTGCTCCACTTGCAGGGTTACATGGGGCACCTTGGCTAGATCAAGTCTCTGAAAACACACGGACAGCAAGAGCTACTTTGAGCACAGCTGCATACTTTCTCATTGCCACAGACCAAAGAAAAGGTCCAAACCGATTGCGGAGCAAACACTGAAACTTCCTGCGTAAGCTGTTCATCCTAAGATGACCCAAAAGACCTTTCAACCCCAAATCAATCATTTTTTGGCGTGGCTGATTTAAGAAAAACGATCGCAATCCCCTACTAAGCGCACAAGCTTTTCATACAACATAGATATAGCACCAGCTTCCCTGTATTTCTCCAGGTCCACGGAATTTCAAAGAGATCATGGAAAATGACTAAAGGAGCACAGAGCAGAGGCATGGCAGGATCTGGAAGCCTTTCCATGCAGTACCTCTTTTCCTCGCCGCTTCTGGAAATTCATGAAGTTTCTGTAACTGCAACAGGGGAAAATATTTGAAAAAGGTCAAATGACTCAATACCATTGAGACCCATAACTTTCCCAGCAGGAACAGGTTTCCATGTGCTTTCTGTTAGACTACAGCCAGGTCAGGGGGAAAGGCAGCAAGCCTACCAGCCGACTTCCCCTTTGCTCGTTTATAAGCCATCGAGTGCGCTGGATGTGTTTGGTTTGAATTACAGATGAGTTTGTTGCTGGAACACATCTGCAATCTGCAACACACTGCGCACTGAGAACTGCTGAACCCCAGCCAGCTCTGAAAGCAACCAGACACGGCCTGGGCGGCTGGCAGTGTCAGCAGCCACCAGCAGCGCGCTCCTAGGAGCTGCTTTCAAGGACAACAAGGAGATGGAGATGGACATTCCTGCTGCGGGCTTTTCCTGAGCCACCCTCCATTTAATTCAGCTTATTATGGCTCCAGGAAGCAGAGGGGTTAATTTCTTTCTAAGTTCATATAGTGTTTGAATTCCTCAGATAAGCTGCTTCCACCAAACACAAGGATGTAGCCTCAAGAGAGTACGCTGTAAGGAAAAGCTCTTTTGATAGATATTCTTCAAAAGAGAAATTAATTCACAGTCCATTTTTGCATGTGTTCCATGCCCACAGCTCCTATACACCTCAGATGAGGTTGCAACATGCCTCTGGAAAAAGAAACAAGCTTTGAACATTGCCCTATCATTTCTGTTTCCAAGACAGAAACGTTTCACACTTGCCCAACAAAATCTCTCCCAGTACGGGAAAGCACAATGCACTGCACCACAGAGAGGAAAATCAGACCAAACCAGGCTTTAGCTCTGGTATAAAACAGTCACCAGCAAGCAGAAGCACACACTGTACCTTTAAAATCGAGTAGTTACACAGGAAAGTTAAAAAACAAGTTTGAATGCCATGGAAGGCTTCCTTCACATATCGGGGCAGAAAGAAAGCAAGTCCAGGCTGCTATGGAATTTGCATTTGCATACTGCTGGTGATAATCTATGTGCATAGCTGGAAACAAAGCGAGTTTTTATTAGCAATTAGTAGCAGGAGTGGGGACAGGTCTGCCTGAAGGAGCCTCAGAAACACCGATACACGACGACAGAAAAACCTCATAAAATACGTAGCAGAAGGATCCCAATATGATAAATCGTTACAAAGAAAATACTGCAGCTATAAATTGGAAGATCCAAGGCTATTTGTTCAAGGAGATAAACTGTATCTTTAGCACCAACAACTTTGACTGCAGGCAGCAGTTTTCCCTTGCACAGCAATTTGCAATGCAAAGCAAGCTACTTCCACTCTTATCATGAACAGTAACTTCGAAACAAACAGAGAGCAAAGCTGGGGAGGGCTGAGTTGCTTTTATAGACACAGCTTTCTACAGAGTTAATTTTCAAGTGCTGCACAAAAGCAGTACAGCACAACATCCAGAACAGCACGTGAGAACTTGGGCAAGGAGGGCAAAACCAAAATTATGTGGGCATCTCCAAGTGTGCGACCTCCTGCTCCTTCCTTCCCTGTGTCTCTGAAGATCACAGTGCAGCTCTATCAGCCAACGATCTCCAGGCGTAGCTCTCCCCTGCCTCTGGAAAATGATATGGCACATGGGGCCCAAAGGCAGAACTAGTGAAAACATATCAAAGGACAGGCAAGTGGTAGCCATATGCCAGAGCAATCGAGTGAAGAATGATCAGGAAAAAAAGAACATCCAGGAAGCAAATCTGCAAGCAGCTCCTTACCTGGTAGATAAGCTAGCGAAGTCTCCTCCATCCAACAGCCTGATTTTGCAGAACAGAACCCCATTCACAAAAGGGACAGCAGTCAGCTCTTCTAGAGTAAAACTTGTCTGAAATTTGAATTTCTTCTTCTTCATCAGGAAAGCCATGGGCAAATTCAGCGTGGAAAGCCCAGGAACTCCAAACAAGATGAGGGAGGAGCAGCTCAAAACACACACAGACAAGCAGAGGAACAGCGCTTGTTCCTGGAGCGTAAGCGGGGAGTGAATTCCAGTTCAGTTACAACGACGGCCCAGCCTCAAACGCACAATCTTCTTCTCTTTGGTGGTCAGATCTGGCTGCAGGATCATCGCCACGGCAGGCTTCAGGTGAGGAGAAAGAGGTCAGATTAAATCTCTGCAACATCTCCAAGGGAAAAGGAAGGGAGATAAGTAAGTCTCAGCTCCAGACCAGCAGGAGCTGTTCCAGTTAGAGGCTGCAGTGCCCTGACTTCAGCAGAACCCTTCCAGCAGGCATCTCTTATGGGAAGTCATCACGAGTTTCTGAAGAAGCCTTAAGTCTGTGCGCAGCACATACAGAATGCTTCCAGGTTCTCTCCCCTCTTCCTGTGCTACTCCTTGGTACAGGTCTTCAGGTCAGCCTTTGGGAGGGAAATAAGTAAATTAGTTCCAGGCAGTCCTGGGCTCCTCCTCTAAAAACCTGTTTGGATGGGTAATATTCAGCACACACTCATACCAATCTTACGAGGTATGGCCCCAATTAGCCTGGTCCCAATATCCTCTTTCCCCAGTTTGCCTACGGCAAGCTTCACTGCTGTCATGCCCCTCGTAACTCCTGCTTTGCAAAGCAGCTAATAAAAATCTGTTCTATTTTCACCCGTCATCATCTGAAGCAGTTCACAGCCCGCATAGCTCCAACCAGCACACGTAACTCTGTCTCAGGAAATGCAAAGTCTGTTTCTTTTCTGGTTTTCCAACCAGCCCTAAGTGTTAGCACCTGTATCTCATAAACAGAGAAACCGGCAGAGGAGGAAAAGGAAAAAAAAAAAAAAAAAAAGAAAAAAGAAAAAGCAGTCTGCTCCAGATTACACAGCACAGCAACCAAACCAGGTCATCCGATGCCCATCCGCCAGGCTCGCTGAGCAGTGCTCTCTCCCCCAGCATCAGGTCCGCACCAACAAGTGCCCCAACAGCTCCGTTTGGGGGTCAGACAGCGGTTTCGCTCCACCTTGATGCACCATCGAGGCTTATCAGCATCAAAAAAAGCAACGAGGCCATAAACGCCGAGCGGCCAACGATCCTCACCGATACCGAGAGCTGCACACCGGCGCTCCCGCTGCCCGCAGGGATGCGCGGCTGAAGCCTCGCTCCGCCGCCTTGTGAGGACACAGAGCTCAGCCGTGCCGCAGGTCCCGCCGTGCGCCCCGGCTCTCGGCCCGCTCCCAGCCCTCGCTCAGCTCCCCAGGCCTCAGCCCGCCTCCGGACCCGCACACTCGGCTGCCCCGAGCTCGCAACCCGCCTCCGGCACCCCCGGGCCAGCTCTCAGCCCCGCTCACGGCCCCCTGCCCCACGGGATGACCCGCGGGAGGATCTCGGCCGGCCTCCCGGCTCTCTCCCCAGCCTCTCGGCCCGCTCCCTGCCCGCCGGGCCCGGCTCGCACCTCCTGCCCTCTCCTCGCACGGCCGCCGCTGCTCCCCGCCACGGCCGCCTCTGCTAGCGCTACGCCAACTGCGGCCGTTACGCCAACGCCGCAGGCAGCCTTACGGCAGAGCAAAACTACTACCGCTCTTCGAGAATACCGAGCCGACGCTACGTAACCCCCTTCCACCGCCTTCCTCCCCGGGGACGGGGGGAGGGGAGGACGAGAGCCGCGCTACCTGATTGGCAACAGTTAAGAGGCGGGACGGGAAGAACAGGGCTTTGATTGGTTTATCTGAATCGGGGCGGGGAAGAGAGGGCGGGGATTGGAGGAGGCGGCTATCGGTTCAAGTAAGACCCGCCCCCTGGCTGAGGGAGTGGGCGGGACGCGGAGGCTCTGTGGTGGCCTCAGGGTCGCCTCAGCGGGAGGGCGTTGCGCTGTGGCCGTTTGGCCGCTTCGGAAAGCGTGGAGTATTGCCGTTCCCGTCGGTACGCCTCATGACTGTTCCTCAGGCTAAACAGCTCTGAGGCGGCTCTGGGGTGCGTGGGGCTCGCTGAGGGGATGACAGGCCTCTGCCGTGGAGCTGGGCACAAGGTGAGGTGTCTGTGCCTCCCTATGGGCTCCAGGTTTGGTGATGGCAGCTCTGACAGATGTCAGCTCTGTGGCCTCCTCAGCACTGCAGCTTGCCAGCCAGGAGCCTGTCCTCCTTCAGCCAGCCTCTCTGCCCAAGCAGCTCTCCAAGGGAAAGGCCTGGCTGGCGGCTGGAGTCTCACTTTCCATGTGTGAGATGTGGCAACCAGCTGAATGCATCTGCCAGCATGGTTCCCTCCTGTTATTACGTGCTGTTGCCCTGTCCCGTGCTGGGGCTGGGAGCCCTGGTTAGGTAGGATTCCATTGTTTAAGGGCAAGCGGAACAAAATGTCTCTCCTTGTCCTGAAGGAGTCTGCAATCATTGACGTGATTTGCCTATTTGTAAAGTAAGGAGTGTGTTGCGGAGAAGCTGAGGCTCTCACGGTAGGGACTTTTCCCAGCACTGCTTTGCATGTCTGGCAAAGCTTGGATGAGAGCCTGGAAGCCCTCACTTTGCCAGGCTTTGATGCCCAGATTCCTTCCCTTTAATCTTTCCCATCTATACAGACAATACCAGTGCTATCAAATAATTCTACCACAGCATGAGTCTTTAAAAGGAAAATCGGCTAGGAAAAGTACACAGCAACATGTGGATGGAAGATAAAGGCTGGATTAGAGCAAACACTGTTAAGAGTTCCTGCTCACCGGGTTAAACAGACACAAACCTACGCCTGGGAAAGCATTTCTGGTGTTGGCATAGTGAAACCATTGCAGGAGATGTCAGTGTTCCTACACTTGTTTTGTGTAAGGCTGCTTTTAAAGGCAGGGCCTGAATCCATCCCCTCAGTTGATATCATCCATCCCCTCAGTTGATATCCAATGTTTTCAAGGCCTCAAGACATTGGTGGAAATGGGCTGGTTTTTTTGCTTTCTGTGTTTCAATTTATTGGGAAAGAGCTCAGCTTTTAAATAGCTAATATTCGCCAAGATGGGATGCCTGAATGCTGGAAGCATCTGAAGAATCCAGGCCGGTCCCTCACATCTCATTCTCTAAGCATAGCAGTGACAGACATGTCGATCTTTCACTTCCATCACTAGGTAAAGGACAAATGATCTGTCTGTTTGCTGTGTGGGAGGAGGCCTTGTGTTATCTGATATGATTCACTCTGATAAATAACCTCCTCGGAGGACTGCTCTTGTTTATAGCAACAGCCTCAGATGCTAAAGTTTACAGAGATTGTAATCCTTGCTGTTCTCACGCATATTTACTCTGCAGTTTTATCAGAAATCTCTCTTGAAAACCTCAGTGTTTTTATAATTAATTGAATAATGTATGTGATGTTAAAAATAAACTGAATTGGAAAAATGCCCAGTGAGCTGCTGAGCTATGTGTAATAGAGCAACCGTAGTTCAATTCTCAGGGGTACGTATATTTTCCTAACAAAGGCAGTCTCATGACTTAGAAATTAAATCTTTATTAGTTCAAAATTCACCCTGTTGATTTTGCTGTGCTTATACTGCATAATTGTTTATGGACAAATCCACATTTTTTTAAAGGGGCAGAACTTCTCTGAATGTCTCTGTTGTTCGCTGCTGGGAGGGATGTTGGGGTCCCCAGGGCATCCCGAGCCCCACGCAAGAGCTATCAGAGGGAACAGGGCATGCTGTATCTCTGTCCATCCACCAACCCAACCTCTGGTTTTATATTCTCTCCTGATCCAGGTCCAAAACATTTATTCAGAATGCCCCTTGATAACAGATGTTAAATCTGCTTACCCCAGACTGAAATGCTCAGTTCTTCCTATGCTGGTGCTTGCTGTGTCATGAGTCTTGCCCCACAGTGCCTTCACCTCTGTTCTGTGAACCTCAGCCACGTCCTTACCCTGTGCCCTGCCTGACCTAAGCCTTTCCTGGTTCCTCTCCCCAGTGCTGCCACCACTTCCTCAACTTTTGCTGTCTCAGGGCATTATCTTATCAGCCTCAGATAATTTATCAGTTTGGGCTGCGCTTTGTGCTGGGCCTCAGCTCTGCTGTCACTGAAGAGGGGCTGATCTGCATGCTCTGATTGCCTTGGGACCAAGGTGCAAGCAGGAGCAGAGATGGCTTTCCATGCTTTCTCCCTCCCAGCTTAGAGCACTGAGATAAACAGGCAGGGAGAAAATGAAGCAAATTGAATTCAGAAGGGACAGAACTGAGAGCAGTGAAGTGAGACGGATCCTGAGAAATGTGTGGTGAGCCATCAGATTCTCTTTCTTATCCCAGAGGAATTCCAGATACACGAGCAAATCATCAGAACCTGTAATCTACATCATTAGCATCTTCCTCTGGAAAACATCATCAGACTAATTCATTTGTCCTGGCAGCCAAATGATTAAAGTTTGAAAACCAAATTATACACCATTGCTGCAACAGTGTAAATACATAATTGGCTTTCCTCTATTAGATCTGTAACTTCTCATAATAACTGTAATGAGCTCCTGGGCCTGTCGTCCCATCCTACCCCCAAAAACAACAAAAAGCCTATCACACAGCGCTCTGCTCTGTTCTGCACGCTGCGATGGCCGAGTGCCTGCAATGCTCTGCAGCTGGGAGCTGTGGGCCAGTGCCTTGCCCACTGCAGGTTGGGAGTGCTGACCCTGGCAGGGCTGGGTGCTGGTACGAGCCCCATGTGCTGCTGGAAACCCCAGCTCCCCATCCTGTAGGATTTTCCTGCAGTATGGGGTTATTCAAAGCTTGCCTCTTCCCAGTTTAATAACAGGCTGCCAGCTCCATTTTCATCTGTGTTTTTCACTAGCTCCATATTTAAGTGAACTTATCACCATAAACCCAGGAACTGTTTCACTTTCTGTGCCAGGCTTGTGTTGTTTTGCAGGCTGTTCACCTGCAAAGGACACACCTGTCTGGTGTGTTTCTGACCTGCCAGGACTGGGGATCCTGTTATCCAGAGACAAAGGGAGCATAGGAATCTGGAGTCGGTGGATTCCTTTCCCAAGGCATGTGGCCAGACCTGAAAGCCCAGCTGCCTGGCTCTTCTGTGTTTACTGCTTTCCATATCTGCTCCATATTTCATGGGAATGTGCAGCAGGGCTCTCCATTTGTTTCTGGGAGGCCTGACAGTGGCATGGGAACAGCTTTGCCCTTCCAAAATCCTCAGACTGGAGCTCATGTTGCCTTGAGGCTTGTGTTTATGAAGCCTCATCCCGTGCCTGGATCTCCACAACCCGGGGGCTCCTGAGCCCAGTTTGCAGGTGGCTGGGCTGTGGGCTGACTCCCAGAGCGCAGCCTGGAAGCTGTGCTGATGTCTGCATGAAGCTCCTTGTCAGGTGCTTGCAAGAAAGACAAAGAATATTAAAGGCTTCGATTTTCATAACAGACCAGACTTCTGTTGACAGTATCTGTTAGCAACAGCCTCTCAGATGTCAAAAAAAAAAAGCAATAAACCAACATGAGGATACTTTGCCAGGCACGACAAACTGAAAACATGTTGGAGGAGGCAGGGTAATTGAGGCGAATATGCAGATGATATCATTCTGCCTCCGTGGGGACCAGCTTCCAGAACTGTGATGCACCTATTTCAGCATGGGATACCTGTGGGATACTGACATATTTACGTGTGGCCTTGTAAAAAATCCTAAAACCTTCCCCAGTGCTTATAATGAAGGAATTAATGTGCATCTTGTGCCTGCCTGTGTCTCTGCAGTGAATTCAGTGCAGTGAGAGCTGGGAGCCCAGCAGCACCGCGTGCTCTGGCAGCAGCATGTGAGCACAGGCATCTCTGCCCCGCGTCCCTCTGCTCTCCTGCTGAATTTCTTCTTCTCCAGGCTCCCAGTCCTGAAATGACCCAGCACTGAGGAGAAGGCGGGGCACAAAAGACCTGTAGGACTTCTGGAAGCATCCCACCAGGTCTCTGCAATGCACTGTGCTCTGCTGCAGACCGCAGCTCAGGATCCCAGCGCTTTGCCCCGTTGTGCAGTGCCATCTCCTGGACAGCTGTGCCTGAGCTGCTCGCACTGCTCACTGCCTGAGCTTCACAACCAGACTTTGGCTCCTGAAGCACCTAGCGGTGCCACGAGCACAAAGCCACAGCCTCGAGGTATCTTCTGACCCACCAGAAGCGCTCCACCAAACTCCTCTTTCTCCAGCAGCAAGAAGTACAAAGCACACTCACTCTCCCCTCTGAGGAGCCCTGTGGCAGGACATCCCTGCGCTGCTCCTTCCAGCTCTGGATGGTGATTATAAATCCCCAGGTACAAACAAACATCTGTGAGATGCCGTTCCTTGCTTTTTGTTCAGCTTTGGGCACAAGTTCCAGGCATGTCAGTGCCCTGTTTACCTGATCTTCCTGGTTTTGACTGTAAGTGACGTATTTTCTCTCTTCCTCCCCAAGTTTGATGACCTCATCATGAGCAACAACCGAGCCCCTAACCACACCACCCACCCCGCATTTAAAAAGTTGCTACATCTTTTTAATGAGACAAAAACGCACACGTGGAACTCGCTCCTGAATGCTACTGGCTTGACTAAGATCTATATTTATCCTGAAAACACACGAAAAAATGGGTGGTTCTGAGGGCAACGCGTTTGCTCCTAAGGAGCAGTGACAGCTTAAGTGCTTAGTCACTGCAAAAA